TCACCCAAGGAGAAAATCAGAACTTTCAATACAAACTTTACAACGCTTTTATTGTACGAAGCTTAAACTTGGAGAACTACTACCACAATCACCAGAAAAGTATAAATATTTGTAAACAGCTGTCTACTCAAAATACTCCAGATCTGTTGATCAGACGCCACCAGCAATAACCTATTGTGGTACAGAACAAATTCACTTTCAGATGGTGGTTGGAGGTAGTCAACAGGATCGATAGCATTCGATCTGCACTAATAAGGACTAGACAAGCATGACATTGATCACTACCCATTGATCAATCAATTGTGAAATTCACTTTCAGCTGAGGGGGGAAATTACGAAAAGATTCTGGAGACGAGTACGACACACATTAAATAATGAAACAGCGTCACAAGTCAAAACGTAACAAGACAAAAGGAAAAGATTCAGACCAAAGAACACTTTTGACCGAGAATTGGACGTAGACATCAATAGGACGAACAGGATTTGGAAACGACTGGAAAACAGAGCCCAATATAGAGTAGATTGGAGATCGTTTATCGACGCCCTATGCTCCATGAGGGGTGACAGGCGTAAACGAAAATGAACGTACTTTTAAGATATAAGATATCTTTTCTATTTTGATTGTTCTTAGCTTCCCGTGAGATCTTGCTATTAGTTTTTAGTACAATCGCTGAGCGGAGAAATTGATAAAATCCACTATTTTCAGAACACATCTGACAGAAAATCCTTAATCTCTCTGAGTTGTCAAATACAAAATGTTACTTGAATATTTGCTTATTACATATGTAGCAGGCGAAGTATCTCAGTAATTTTGTCTTGTCAATGAAACTATTGATCATTCACTGGATCACATTGTAAATATGCAACCTTTATACACACTCACTCATTCATATGTTCATATTGAATCACCTTTGACCCAGATGATGATATGATCAGATGTGTTTGTATGTACTAACGATTCGGTCTCAGTATTTTGTTCTTTGAACTGTTTTAAACTTGCGTCAACTTAAAAGATGAGTTAATTTTTTATTCTCTGTGTATCATAAATTTTCCTCATTATGATCAGTAGTCTACTTAATACTACTCAATCAATATGAAATTATCGTTTTGTCTTGATAATTATATTGTTTTCTTTTCTTGTTGACCATCTCATCACACAATACTATCTTCTACTTAAATGTAAGCGATACACGGAAAAAACTCACCGGAGTTATTCGCTGAGACCTACCGGTGTTTGAATTTATTTACTTAATTTCATCATACCTTCCTCCACATCAACACAGACATCTGCACTGAATGGAAGGAATATTTCGATTTTAAGTTGGATTAGAATAACTATAAATAGACGGGTTCGTTCGTTTTGTGTGTGGATTAACCTTGTTTAAATGAATGAGTGATTAAATAATTCATCAAGGTTACGGTACTTGTTTTGGAAAAGAAACATATACATCCAAACACCAACAGGCGTGTCCCAAATCTTGTATATTAATCAGTTAGACTACATACATATTCAGAATGATGATTTTAATTGGTGTTACTATTTGATTGAACTAAGATAGGAAATATCGAAATCCAGTTAACGCCATAATAATCCATTATTTATAAAATTATGTTGTGTTACTATTGTTCGTAGTAAATGTTACCATTTAATTGTTTTTTGAAAACAAAAACAATTGAGGAATGTGTTATTTACAATTGATTGCCTATTGGGTAGTGACCAATGTCATATGTGTCAGGTCTTACATAGTACAGATCGACTCTTGTCGACCAAATTGCAATGTGGCCACTTGACTAGGTGACTTTCAACATCGCGTGCACTATTTTGAGCTGTAAGGTAGTGGTCGAAGGTAATCGACAAACAACCATATACCTAGGTTTCGTGCTATTTGGCACTCATCACTAAGGTATACCTATAATCTTGAGGGAACTGATGCTCCCTGACGAATTCGATTTTGTTTCATTCAGCTTCACAGCCGGAGAAGTTACTACTGAGCTATCCGAGCCGCAACTGACCTCCCGTAGGACTGATATGTTTTTACAATTGATTGATCATTGGATAGTGGCCAGTGTAATTTATGCCAAAACCTTTTTAGTACTAACTGAATTCTATCGATCAAGTTGCAATGTGGGCACTAGTGTGTTAGTTGATATTGCAACTGACTGTACTTAACAAAACGTTAAGTGATTTTCTATATCTGCTTAATGTAATATTTGACCACTTAAATATGACATATATTGTTATACGAATAGAGAACAGGAGCAACAACTTAAAGCATTCAGAATAATGTGAATTAATTTTGATTATTCGGATCTCATCAACTACTTTTACACATAACCTGTACTGTTTTAAAATCGGAACTTCAAATAAAGTTCAACATGCTTATAAAATTCACTTAAAACGTTAAAATATTTACTCCAATTTTGAAACAACTTGAGAAGTTTTTTTGTAGGTCAAAACTATGTCTTATTCAAAGGTTCGATAAGTGAATAACGTGATTATTTACTATTTGTAGACTTCCATCTGTTGAGTGGTCTACGAAAATTTAAATGATCATAGTTTATCATGCAATAATAATAATATTATTATTATTAACTATCTTCTCAAGTACAATTAGTTCGAAACGACATGTTGTTAGAGGTACCAGATATGATCTCGTGTTTGTTACATGCCTAACTATTCTATCAATCTTAATTATTAAATAGAAGAGGTCTAATGACGAGTTCTATTTCGAACTGACGATAAAATTCAAACACTCATCTATAACATGCTGACATATACATCAGTTTGGTGACTTCAAATGTTGAGTTACAGAGTTCATGTGAACTACAATGTTTACTAGACAGAAAGTTTTCTCAACAGAATATATTCATTCAACAATCTGAATGTTCTTACAATCCTAAACTCTATCATTATCCTCATGCAAACACACAAATATATATATGCATATGTACGTAACATGACATGAACTAACAATGGGATGATTGATCTCGAAACACAAGATGAAACACAATACTCAACTGAATTGAACTAAACTAAACTGAGAATTGTGCACAAACCACTGCAGGTAGATAAGGTAATGTCCAGTGAATAGACACAAAAACGATTTTTACGCAACATATCAACACTGTGAGAGAAAATTCGATATAAAGAAAGTAATAATAAGGTTGACTATATTGGAGGGAGAACTGGAATAAAGTGTAAGACGGAATATTTGAAGAGTGTAAACAAAGGGTGTTTGGTCACTGTATAAAAGAGTAACATTTTCAGGATTTAAAGAACGTTAAATATTAGGTACATTTGCACTCTACTATGATGACAACATAGTCTAAACTGTCGAATAACTGGTTAAAAGATAATCTCATCAGAAGCGTTCACCTTCTTACATACAACAGAGATCAACAGTAAAATGTGATAATATGAAGTGACTGGTTGCCAGTTTTCCTTTTCTTGTCGTTAACAGTTTAACAACTGATTGTCACTTCGAGAAACGGAGTGACAGGACTAAACAGTACTTATGTAACACACACATTCGAAGTGAATCAGTCAATGATGGATGTTGATTACCACCGAGCAAACTCAATCACGGTATCTCACTTCTCAATCGACAGCTTCATTACATTCGGTCGACGAATACTGTGTCGATATTTGTTTGTGACCAAATGCTTTCGAGTATCTGCACGTAATGTTATGTGAACAGTGTGAATGGTAGTGCAGTGTACACGTCATGTGTATCGTTGTTTCCTCTGTTGTAGTTAGTGACAAGCACTCAGACAAATGTATGAAATATAGTTTTGTGACTAATTTTTACTGTCTACAAGAGCAAGGAACATGAATTTTTGTTCAATTTTTATGAAGACCAATGTGGTGAAAATATATTGAAGATGGTTATTGCTTGTTTGACCTTTTGTGTACTTCCACTTGTACATAATAGTAATGATAATGGTAATAATAGTAATAATACTAGTAACAACAATAACAATAAATACTTTGACAAACTAGTTTCGACTTGCTTGTTTACCAAGTATTTTTAGTTTTGATAGTAGTACACTGAAGTCAGGTGGCTGGTTGGTAGTCACCACCACCTAACTACCTACCCACTTGACTACTGATGACTAATTAACTCATTCGAGATATGTTGCAGTCATCTAGTATGTGTTATCTCTTCAAGAATCCACATCGTGACACGGTTGGGTTGACTGAGCAAAAATTTTTCATACCACCATACATATACCACAAAAATCAATTTTATTAGCTCAATAAGAAAAGAGGTAATTAAATAGCCACAGATTATATAAAATAAAACGATCCAGAAAATAAGATTTGTTCCTGTTGATGTGAATAGCTGACATTGATTTTGAGGTTTGTTATTGTGGATGTTGAAGCATTAACGTTCTAGATGGGGGGAGATATTGGATACAAATGTTCATGTCCAATTCCACAATGAGTAGACTAACAAACAATAATTTTATTAGATCTTCTTGTGAGTTTCTTGTAGATAACTATTTTGTATAAAGTCATTATTACCATTATTATTATTATTATTACTATTATTATTATTATTTATTGTTATTATTGCTGTCATGATGTGATACGAAGTAAGAACAAGTGGAAATTTTTGAGTTTTGGACACTGACGTTAATTACAGTTACAGATATCAAATGTATGGCTGTGTTTTAATTTGTGTAAAATTTCTGTAATGTTGTTTTGTATCTAATATCTGCAAAAGGAATCACTCTTTGAATGTGTGATTAATTTTCATGTTGTATGTTTATTAGGTATGCTGAAGTTTTGTTTAGTGTTAATGAATGGAGAATCTTTCTCTTTTAATTCTCTTCCGCCTCCTGTATTGTTACCTTGTATATGTATAATGATAGTATGTTATCGTTTTAATGTATTACTTTTGTTTATGATGAAATCAATTTCATGTTTTCTCAGTTAATCACTAATTTGTCGATTTTGCTTATATGTGAATTTCTGACTATTTTTCCTTAAATTAAAGATTGCGGGTTGCCCAGCTGCTGAAAAGATTTTACTAATGAATCGAGAATATTCTGACAATGCTGGATCATTGGAAAATTGTTTAGATCTTGGTAAAACGGATGAATTGATGGATAGCAACTCTACTTTTTGTGATGAGAAACTGGTTATTTTGTCGTCAGCATTAGCAGCAAAAACTACAGTACCAGAACGTTTGCCTATTTCTTCTTCTTCATGTATAACTTCTTCATCTCACCTTTCATCTACAGCTGGATTAACGGCAACATTTCCTACTGTCAACAGTTCCACTGTTGCTACTACCACTACTAGTAATTGTAATAGTAAATTGATTTCAAGTCATTTGAATGTTCCTTCGAATTTGCAGAAGTCAGATTTACGTTTTCATAATCGTTTAACCACAAATTTCGTCCCTCTTATCCCCAACAGAAATAATAATAATAATTCAACTGTTATTACTACTGTCGCTGCTACCGTGACAACTTCTGTTACTACTACTAATACTGCTGAAAATAATCATACTGCTACTACTACTAGTATTAGTAGTAGTAGTGTTAGTCTTATAATTAATTCCAGTGAAGATCAGAATCGTTTAACTTCTTCAACATTAACTGGAACTAATTCAGAAACGAGTGATACTTCAACAAGAAAAAATATTGTTGCACGTTTTGTTTCTCGTCCGTCTACTCTACTACCATCATCATCATCATCATCATCATTAGCTCAACCTTTAGATGTTATTAAAGCACAACGTCAAGCTGTTTCTAAATTTGCTGATGGAATAAATCAAACAATTCATCCAACTTCGTCGAATAATTTAACACCGTGTTATTGGTCATCAGATTTACAAAATTTATCACCGATTCTTACACCATCCACATGGAAACTATTGAAAAATTTAACTTCTTCCAGTTGTAATAATAATACTACTAATAATAATGGTATTAATACTAATACTATTCAACAATCTTTTCTTCTAACGCCAACATTAAGCCCACTTTATCCTGTCTTACCTACACAAGCATTCACTTCTATTACAAGTATGGAATCACTGAGATCTGTGAGTAATCCTACTATTATTATCACTTCCACAACTACGAGTACTCCTTATTCTTCTACTACTTTGACTAATAATAACACTACTGCTAATATGTGTACTAATAATGATAATAATAAAGACAATAATAATGGTACTAATAGTACTGTTCTCTCTGTGGTTGAATCTAATCCAACCACATATGTAAATAATAGTTTGCTCATCAATCCTACTACTGTGACAACTACAAATATTAACAATACTACTTCTTCATCGTTGGAAACTACCTTTGATAACTGTGATAATAATACTAATAATAATCGTACAAGTGAATCATCAAATATTTTTAGCAAAGATAATGATAACGATAAAAGTATTGTTGATGAATCGAGTCGCATTATACTAATGCAACAATCAAGTCAATTAAACGGACAATAAAAATGTCATTAATCGAGCAAATGAAAATAACCAGTTTTGTCTTTCCTGTGTCAGAGCACTTTTCTGTATTCTTTTTTCTTCTTATGTACTTCATTTTTTTAATCTCTCGGTTGTATGAAGATAATATTTACAATATAAATGCACAATAATTGATATCAGATCATTGTTTGATCTATCAATCCATTACTACAGATCCTGTAGGAGTGTAAAAAAAAGAAGTTGAGACAAGTAAATAGTATGTTTATGTATGCACATACACGTAATTGTCCAAAAAATTTACACAGATGTCTTTCCTCTGTATCTTTGACTAGGCTTCCCTCTTTCTCGTGACTTTGTAAACACAATATTGGAACATTTTCAAATCCTCACTTCGTGTATGTATATATGGACGCATACATAAATACACATATAGAATGTGTATACTCTACGTGCATTTTTTTGATTAATAATAGTAAGTATTATTATCGTTATCACTACTCTGAACACTGGGATACACTCATGTAAAAAGAGGCGTACACAAACAAAAACAAATTGACTAGTATCTTTATTTTTATGGCAGCTGTTTATTCAAATCATCGTTAATATTAGAGGGTCAGATCCATATATATAAACAAACGCACAAATCACGTAAATGTGTGGATTCATTTCATTTGCATTCATTGTTCATTTGTTTACCTTCGACCCTGTTTACTTACAAGTACTTTTTGTTAAACTTGCACCTTTAAAATCAATAGGTTCATCCCTTTCATTTTGGCATATTTTTATATTTACTACTTAAAAAGTATGCTAGTAGTTGGACTGTCAGACAACAATTTCAAAAATAGATTATGTCTTTCTCTATGCAATATTTCTAGTGAATTCTGTTGATTAACTAAAGGTGTCGTCAGATTTGTTGAACGCTTTTGTGTTAATTGTCAAAGAAGAAATTATCTTCAGGTGGATATCATAAATGATATCATAAGAAACAATGGATGATCTGCACTCTTTTTTCTTTCGTCCCTTTTTGATGAATGTAACAAGCAAAGTAATAGTCGCACACATTATACACACTCATGTCCAATTAGATCATACCTACCTCACAAATTTCACATGATTTTCCCTACTACTAATGTATATGTTTGTTGTTTTTGTGCTTATCTACTACCACAATACTGTCTATCCACCTACTTGCTACTACACACCCTTTCATGAACACACATACACCTTTCAACTATACATGTAACTCGATTACCTTCTTTCCTGTTTTATTTTATACATACCATACCTACTATTCAAAATTATGGTAACAAGAAATACAAGTAGATACATATATTTTGTGTACATGATATCATTTTAGTTGGTTAAATACTTGTTACAACGAGATTGGTGTTCACGATAGTGACATATTTAACTAACATATTAGCTTACAACAATAACAATCTTCATCTTAATGATATTATTACCACATTATACAAACTGCATATTTTCCTTGTTCATCTATCATCGTCTGTGATTATTAAAGCATAATTACATACTTATACATATATACACATTTATCTTTAAAATTTAGTTAACATCTTTGAGTTGATTTCATTCTAATTTCTCTTATAAAAGCAGATTGATTGTTAGTGTTATACTCTAAATGTTCATTTGTATGAAAAATAGAGTCAAATAATAAATTGGAGATTTTCTTTCCACGTTTCTCTGTTTCCCATTGATTTTCAGTTTATTATATCTCTTCGTTAAAACTATTCAGACAAATTATGTCATAGTAACCAACTGTCTTTCTATATATATATATATATATATATATATATATATATATATATATACTGTACAAGATCGCATCGGTATATACATAAGCAAGTGATCTAACTAGACACAAAAGTTCACTATAAATTTCTTTTCTTTTCGACCTTACTTCGCGTCACGACAAATAAAATTTACACCACGTAATCTTCGTTTATATGTTTGTCTTAGGTTCTGGTTATCCTATATCTTTCTACTATCACTGTCAAATTAATAGTTCAATTCTTTTTACTTACATGTTTAACTTGTTCATTTAATACAAATTTTTGTTATATAAGACGGATTAAAACTACTAGCATGCACACAGATCACACGGAGACTAATGACAACTACTGTGTTGATATTGATCTTATCATTCTGTTATTGTTATTATTATTGTTAATAGTATTCTGTGAGTCAGAAATCAAATTATTATTGATTTTTATTTTGCGCCTTGATGCTTTACGTTGTTTTTAGGCGCTATTCCCTCTTCAGATATACAATATATGCGAAATATTTGTATGTATATTTAAAAAGTATATATATACAGAACATAATTTTGTTTATCAGAATTACCTTAGTTTTTATATTTTGTTCTCACTTGTTTGTTTGAATTCGCTTACTTACCACTGGTCGCTATTATCACACGGGCAGCAATCAGGTAGTCAGCATCTGTATATACAGATAAGTAATTATATTTTAGAGAAGTAAGAATGGGACTTTTCTGTGCTTGATCATTCTGTAAGATAAACCAAAGCAGTCCAAATACTAAAAATACTATAAAACGGGTGACTTTGGAAATGTGTAAACAAATACAAAACCTATCAATAAATGATTCTGAAGGATCGCTTTTGAGTGCATTATTTCATAGGTAGTGATTGAAAAGGGTTGAATCAATTCGCACATTTTCTATATTGATTTTAACAGTTGGAGTATGGTATCGTTTCGTATGATCTTAATTGTAAACTTCGATTTGATTTGTTAACAGTTAAGATATCCTTTGTTGTTCGTAAATTCCTTCGCAATTCATTAGACACTTGAACATTAAAAATACTATCAACTGTCCTGCTAAATTTAACCGGGAATCACATGACTTAATTACGTCTGTTACCCCTCATGGAGGAGCATAGGCTGATCACCAGCATTCTCTATCCAGCCCTGTCTTGGGCAGTCCTTCCCAGTTGCTATTCACCCTTTTGGTGTCTGTTTGCGATTCTCGATTCATTGTGTTCTTTGGTCTCCCTCTTTTCCGTTTCTCTTGGTGATTTCATGTTAGCGGTTGCCTCGTGATGCAATGATGATTTCCGTAATGTATGTCCTATCCAATTCCATCGTCTTTTGTTTTGAGTTCTATATATTCTTCAATGGTAGGAATGTAGCTCTTGGTTTTCCAGTCCTCGCCTTTAGGTCTGCATCAGATCCTCCTTGTTCATCGATAACGCTGCTGTCCAAGTACGTGGGAGTTTCCGCCTGTTCTAGAGTTTCCCCATCAAGTGTGATTGAGTTGATGTTCTCTGTGTTGTATTTGATGATGTTGCTTTCTGTCTTGTGTATGTTGAGGCTTACTGATACAGAGACTGCTACTACGCTAGTTGTCTTCATGTGAATTTGTTGATGTGTGTGTATGGGATAAGAGGCGTAGGTCATCTTCGAAGTCCAAATTGTGTAGTTGCATGCAAGCTGCCAATTGTATTCTGTGCTTCCCTTTGAGATGTCGAGGTCTTCATAATCCAATCAACTAACACGTATTTGTTTACAAGTAAGGACTACCATTTTTTGTCAAAAAGCTATATAATCTGAGGTCTTCCCAGCATTTTGTTTCATAAGTAGGGATGTGAAAATGTTTTTCGTAAAATCAAAATATGTTATTTGTTTACTATTTATTAAACAAATCAGTCCATCGTATTTTTAGTATAGAGGTTTGAAGAGATTACTGAATTCCCAGTTTTACATCACATACTGACTTTGATTAGACAATCACTGGAAACCAGGAAACACTGGACAGCTGTTCCACCTTAATATTGAACTCATCAGTCTGGACATCCATTACCCCACTAGGTATCGAACTCAAGACCTTCAGATCCTTTGGATATCAGGAGAGAACTGACTGAAATCCGAAATATGAACAACTAAATGCTAACGTTTTGGTATGAAATCTGAATTCTAGCCAATAGATTTTTCGAATTTATGATCTCTTCTTAACATTTAAATGTTATAAGTTGAATAAATATGAATTGTAAAGTTTTAGAGATCACCTAATTAGGCTGATTTCTTTACGGTTCTCACAAAAGAATTTCTGTCCTGGGGTAAAATAATTTTGATATTAATCTGAACGGATGTTTTCTTTGTTTTTTTATACTGTCATAGTTGGTTAGGCTTGTAATTTCTTACTACCACCGTTAAAACAACTGAAGATAGTCATAGGCTGGTTTGTTTGGTATTATTAGTGATATATTTATATTGTTTCATGAATCTACAGTATAATGAATTTTTTATTAAATTGTATTTACTTGACACTTGTTAAAAAGTAAGTTCAGGTTGTATGTTTATTACTACATAGAAGTCATCACTCGGATGCTTTCATCGAGACTTAAATACAACATACATTTGTTTAAAGCTATAACAATATTTCGATAAACCATCTTATTGGACATATTTCATTCATGATTGTAATTTGAACTTTCCACTGCTGAATTCACGGTGGTCGAAAAGATCAGCCTCTGTTAGTGATATTGACATCATCTAAACATGTCTTAATACTGCCTGTAGATAAGTTATCGCTTAATTTAATAGTATTAACCAATGGATTATAAGATGCCATTTAATCTTGTGTTCATCGTGTGTTATTTCAGTCATAGTTTTCACTACATCCGTCAAATCATAATCTTTGTTGTAAAAAAATCCAAACTTTTATTGCATAACATTAGAACACTGGTTGATAAATCGTTTTGCCCTACTTAGTATTTTACAACTTACAATCCATCTACTTATAAGTAGGTAAATTCTAATATTAATGACATGTTTTGATGCGTCTAGATTTCTAAAATTATTTCATCTTATCCAGTTAACGATATTTTGGGTCGCGGATACTCACAAACAGGAAAGAACAAGTACCTGATTCCCCAAGGTTTCAAATGATTTTCTTACTGATAGCTGTCCATCACAGGAAACGTTTGCGAATTAATTGTTTGATGACGTTACTTCCTAAATGACATCAATCAAAGTACCGTTATCATTCCTCATAACCTAATCAGAAACTAATTCAAATGAATCTGAGAGTTGCTGATTTTTTATAGGATGATATTAAGTTATTGTCGATAAAATCACTACGTTTATGGAGTATAACAACATCGGTTGATCAGTTTGTAAACATTTCTCGTGATGGACGGCAACTAACTAGAGGATCATTTAAATCCGTGAAGAAGTAGACGGTTGTTTCTTCTCTTTCGAAACTAATCAGTCCTCGAAAAGTCACTCATTTGGGTAACCAGTATGGAGGCAGTCTGGAAGTACACTAGGTATTACTAAGCCGAGACATGACATCAGTTCATGAAATCACTGACTGCCCATGTGAGCCGTTCTGTTCTTTGAAGATTTCAAAGTCAAGATCTATGAGATTACTATGATAGTATTCATTTTATTGAGTATCATATATTTGATTAAAGCAAAGAATGTCCGGTTTAAAATACGAAAATTTGCATCAAGTCCCTTTTAAGTGACAGTATTTTCAACATATATATACATGATACATGAATTTCAATGTAATCCGCTCTTGTTTCTCTGTAAAATCCATAAGAAGGTAAAAATGCTAACTATGGTAATAGTGTGGTGTGGGTTACTTATATCGACACAAGTAGTATGTAACGGTGGTCAGGCATATAATGTATTTTAGTGGAAGGTTGATGAGGAAAGAACGGGAACGGAACGCGATTGGTATGAAAACGCATGAACAATGAAATCTGAGGCAATGAATTGATGTTTGCAACAGAACAGTCAAGTTTGGGATGATGGGTTGATATTTTGCCAATTGACGATTTACTATATGGTTCTCAGATTTTATTGAGATGCTCTGTAATTTTGTGCTCAAATACATTCCATTATCCCCACTCGTGTTCTTGTTCACTACAATAGTTCCACTTGAGTTATTCAGAATGTAGATTCGCGATAGACTTTAAAGGTTTTTCAAAGCTCGCAACATCCTTGTACCAATAACATATATGATAAGCTCATTAGATAAAATCTAAATAATATAAACTTTACTGCAATAATTGTACATTCGGGAAATGTATGGCTCAAAGGTTTCAGTAGGTCACCAAGTTGTTGAAGACCTTTGGTTATAGAATCTGAAACCGGTAATACTGGCTCAATTGAACCCAATATTTTTCTTCTTCCAGATCTCTGGAAACCAGAGTAAGAGAAAAGATTACTGAAGAGTAGTTTCGTCCTGGTTTGGCATGTATCACTAGAAATCAAGGCTTCGATCTCTAGGTCTTGTGATGTGTGTATGTGCGCTATATTTAGACCATTTAGTTGGAAGATGGTAGTTTGAATTTTTATTTTCAACTAATTCATCACACAGAATGACGACCATTGTATTGAGTAACTGCTTTTTATTCCATAAAATAATAGTTAAACCAACTTCAATTTTCACAAAACTCTAAGCCAATCATTGATTAATGTATTTGTAACTCATTGAATTTTCTATTATTTTAACAAATTACGTTAACGAATCTCCAACAATCATCTCAGCTGATAGATGGTAAAAATTAGCAAGAAACAAAAAAAGAAACATACAATACAACTGAATCAACTTGATTCGGGAATATACACAATTTCAACCACCACTCTACTTCTATCCATTTAACTAATTTTGAAAAAAAAACACAATTGTCATAGTTAAACATGCATTATTTACGCAAAAAGTAAACACGATGTATAGGAGTGACAACTATGAGTTTCAACTGGCATAAAAAGTTCTATGATGATTTAAAAAACACCATGGAAATAAAAGATAAATCATACCATTATTGATTGAATTGATAAAATCAAATAAAGTGTGTTTTTAAATACGATCGAGTTTTATCGATTTACAAGGCTTCAATTTATAGAGAATTAACACTGTTGGATGCCGGCTCAGTGGTCTAATGGTTAAGTGCTCGTGCGCGAAGCCAGTAGTTCGATAACAAACGTCATACGATTTAACTGGAGTTAGATATAGGGCCCCAAAAAGCTCTCGAGAATTCTCATAGAAAGTCTCCAACAGCTAAGAAAAAGCTGAAATTACTTCGTCCGTTTAGCATTAAATATAAATTTTATGAAGTCAAAAAACAATAAATTATATGTCATATCTTTAACGGATGATTACCAATTTAGTTAACAGTTTTAGAACGTCTTCAAAAGCTCCAAGAGTATCAAGATCAAGCATAAACCAATGTATACCCTTGTACCTAAATTGGTTTTAGACGTAAAGCTTGCCTTTACGCTTTCTCTTATATTCGATTTGCGATTCAAGTGTAGGAAATTTCTGGAGAGCTAGGATACAGTTAGAAATTAGAGTTAAGCGTTCAAAT